TTCCAATGTGGCTCAGTAGAGAACAGGGTCTTCCTTCGATCGGCGGTTCGATCCCCGGCTCCGCTAGTCGCATGTCGATGTGTACCTGGGCAAGACACTTAACCCTCCAGTGTGTGAATGATGACATGTAGTGTTAAAGCTTTGAGTGGGTGGAAAGTACTTACCATTTACCAATGTAACCTCTCCCAACTAACTGCACATTACGTCTTTTTTAGCTACATTTTATGATCTTGTCTTTGCAGAGGAGCTCACCTGTGTCATGTGATCACCTGTGCTGTGAGAAATATTGGCGTTGGACTTCTTCGTTATAAAAACAGTCATGTACTAGTGAAGGTGTTTGTGCTCTGTGCCAACGAGGTGAAAACTTTGATTAAACTAAGGTGAACTTTATGCACTCCCTGCCCTGCCCAATCCCCCACAGTCACCTTAACCTTTTAACACAGATCAAAGAGGGGCAAAGAGAGAGACGCAGAGAAAGCTTTAGTCACAGTTCAAAGCGCTGATATATGTGTGTGCAAAAGAGATAGAGTTGAAGAGAGTCAATAAGGCACAGCCCTGACTTCAAACACATACAGATTAACCTCACCCCCTCGCTCACAGCAGCACGTTGTTTCTGCAGAGAAAAGAAAGCCAGAAACACATTAGTGAGTCCAAGCTCTCTTTTGGAGAAATCGAAATCGGCGCGGCGGCGTCGTCAGAATACGAAGCTCCCTGCAATAATCCACCTGAAAGCTCATTCCGCATACAGCAGGCCGTCGCTGCCAGCAGGCTCGACTTGCACTGATGTGGTTTAAATAAAGAGAGGGCGAGATCATCAGCAGTGTCATCAAGAGGTGAATACGGGAGAAAGGTCAACTGACAAAACTGAATTCTCTTAAGGATCTCCCATTACAGTTACTAACCTGAATAGAAACAGATCGACACATGAGCGCTTGACCTCTGACACAAGGCCACTGGACGACCCTCCTGCTGGTTCCCGGTCAGCTACAAAACAGAGAGTCGTGTAAAAGAAGAGGACGGCGTGTCGGCGTTGCTCCGCCGGTTGGAGGGGACGTGAATGGAAACGCATGCAACATGCTAGCGCACATTTGACGGCATCACCCAGACGTACTGATTTCATGCAGCCTTAGGACCAGGCGGCAACCTCCGGTTCTGACAAGTGAAGCCAATGAAGAAGTGTCTTAAAACTTGTATGTTCTCTACTGGCCAGCAGGGGGCGAAAAAGAAGTCAGATTGTATAGAAGTCTATGAGAAAATGACTCTACTTCTCTCTTGATTTATTACCTCAGTAAACATTGTAAACATGAGTTTATGGTCTCAATCTCTAGTTTCAAGTCTTCTTCAATACAGCATGATGTTCATTTAGTAAATGATGGTCCATTTAGAGTCACATAGACCATAAAGCAGAGTATGCTTTAGGGCATGGCTTACTGTGATTAACAGGTCGCTGCTGCTACCAGAGACTCTACGTCACTCTTCTGCAGTCCAAATATGGACTTCCATTTGTTGCAAAAAGCCAAGATGGCGACGGCCAAAATCGCCAAATTCGAGGCTTCAAAACATCAGTCCACAAACCAATGGGTGACATCACCATGACTACGTCCACTTCTTGTATACAGTCTCTGCTTTAGACTCAAAAGCAGAACGAGATCAAACAATTAAAGAAGTAATTGCTTACATTGGCACATAGCCAAGGTGGACACTCTTTTGCACACACAGATTTAGTATTATTCTATTTATTAGTATTTTATACTTCATAGCGTAGGAGATGCTATTCAGTTTTACAGCCTATGTGAGCTGTTGCCTTTTGGGAAAGTGTTTGTTTAGCATTCGTACAGTGAAATACAGAAGTGTTTAAAATGTTCCGTATTTTCATAAAAGAGATGACCAAAGTTTACAGAGAAAATGTTACCTCACTCTCCAGCAGGCGGACTGTGTCCGTCTTTGACAATTAAAAGACTGACTGACTGATGTAGATTCTGTTTGTCTTTAAAGTTAATAAAGATATTAAGTAGTCCCTGCTCTTATGTATCACGTGAGCTCATGGCAGAGAGGATGCTTGCATCTAATCATCGCGATATTGGGCTGTGGGGGTGTAGCAGAGTAAACTGTGAGAGGGGCTTTAAATCTTCGTGGTATTGTTAGATTCATCACTTGACTTACAAATTTAAAGGAAGCTAAACACGCGTCACATGTTTCTCCACACAGTGTTTTTCTCTGTTTCTATTCTTTATCTGCCAGCAGCTCGCAGGAAGCCTGCAGGGTCAGATGTCTGCCGTTATAAGCTGTCTAGAATCCACTCATGCTCCATAAAAGCCGGATAAAGAGAGATTTGATTTAGTGACTCAGCAGCCTCACTCAGAAAAATGCACAGATATTCAATGAAAAGAAACAAGAAGGAAATCCTCCCACGACCCCTGGGGGATTAAAAGTGTCTTTGTGAATTACACACTATGTTGTACATTAAAATATGATCCCTTTTGTTGGCACATAGCTGTTCCCCGCAGTGTGCAATGCATTCTGTGTAAATACTGAATATTTGTTTCCGTGTAGTACGATATTGGAAAACGCCAAAGAATCCACAGCCTGTCACAGCTCCTCTTGTGTTAATACCGGAGCTAATAAAACACCGATGGAGGGCGGGCGGTTGATTTCATGTGATGATGATGAATCTACTCTGGGGAGTTCTTCAAATATTCAACGTCCGCAAAGGAAACGAGGAACATTTTCTTTTCTAGGCGTCGTTATTCTTCCTGGGTGTCAGAGGAGATCGATTTAACCTCTTACCCACCACGTGCAATATGTGGCTGTTTTATGACCCTCATCACACACACAGTCCATTACACAACAGTCCCTCTTCCCGGGTGCTGCCGTGGGCTCCCTCTCCTCTTGCTCCGGGGGAAAGCCACTGTCACTTAGCCTAGCGCTGTCCATCTGCACCTGTCAGGCGCCATCGTGTCTCTGCGGTTAAACTGGCGGAAAAAAGCCCTGAGAACAGAGAGCACCATGGGAACTGAAGAGAGGAGCTAGCCCGAGTCTTAGCTGTGACCGGGGGCCAATCATCCCCGAGAGCCGACGGCTCGCTGTGCTGCTGTAATTACTTCTGGGCTGTGTGCTCGTTGACTAAATGTTGACCCATAACATATATTGAGTTCCCTATTAGTAGTGCTTGTACTTTACACCCCTATCAGTGGTACTTGTACTTTACACCCTTATCAGTGATACTTGTACTTTACACCCCTGTCAGTGGTACTTGTACTTTACACCCCTGTCAGTGGTACTTGTACTTTACACCCTTATCAGTGGTACTTGTACTTTACACCCCTATCAGTGGTACTTGTACTTTACACCCCTGTCAGTGATACTTGTACTTTACACTCCCATCAGTGATACTTGTACTTTACACCCCTGTCAGTGGTACTTGTACTTTACACTCCCATCAGTGATACTTGTACTTTACACCCCTATCAGTGATACTTGTACTTTACACTCCCATCAGTGATACTTGTACTTTACACCCTTATCAGTGATACTTGTACTTTACACCCCTATCAGTGATACTTGTACTTTACACCCCTATCAGTGGTACTTGTACTTTACACCCCTATCAGTGGTACTTGTACTTTACACCCCTATCAGTGGTACTTGTACTTTACACCCCTATCAGTGGTACTTGTACTTTACACCCTTATCAGTGGTACTTGTACTTTACACCCCTATCAGTGGTACTTGTACTTTACACTTGGGTATTTCCATTTTATGTAACTTCTACATCTTAGAGGAAAATATTGTACTTATTACTCCAATACATTTGCCTGACAGCTTTAGTTACTTTATATTGTTCATGCCCTTCCTGTCCATTGAAAACCACAGAACTCCAAATGTCCATTTAGTTCGTGATAAACTGAAGTGTTGCTTTATGTGTTGAGCAAATTCTAAATTCTAAAATACCTTTAAAAATGTGAAATTTGAAAGCCGAGTATCTTCACAGTATTGCTTCTCAAATAAAGGATCTGAATACTTCTACAAAGGTGAGATTAAAGTTGTACTAAACCAGAACAACATATTCCTGGCTCAACATTTGCATGTCATTCATACATAAGCGTGTGATTGTGTTATGTGGGCAGGAGAAACTGCTGGGATTGGCTCCAGCCCACAGTGAACGAGAATAAGTGGTTAAGCAGAATGAATTATTAAATGATAACAAATGATGGTGACTTAAACTGTTTCACATCTCTTTCCTTGACTGTCCTGTAATAAGACAACACATGGGTGAACTTAGTTCAGGGACCTGACGATGCCTCATGGAGCTGCTCATCTCCTTCTGCGTGGGCTGTGGGCAAGAAGAAAGATCATTTCCCTCTATCGTGCGATTATGGATGTTGCACCTAGTTGGCTGGTAGTATTCAGTTTAGACTTACAGTGAAATGTTGCTGATTTTCAACCATAATGGTGAAAAAAGTCGCTGGATGAAAGACATTAGGTAAGACAACGTTACCTTTGCACGTGGAACTCAGACATGCGAGACGAGAGATGTAGTTTACTGATCGGTTTCACACAAAACTAAATGATACGACAACAAATCTGACAAACTGCGACTTTCTCGACTTGCTAAATTATCCTTTAAATTGACAGACTATCTAAAATATATTTTTTCCAGAATAAGGGACACCGAAAGGGGAGGGACTTTCCTGGACTTTCCCTGCATTCACTTTTAGCCCTATGCTAAGCTAACTAGCTGCTGTCTTCACTTCATACATATGAGTGTTATGAATCTTGTCATCTAACTACATTTCCCAAAATGAATCCTTTGGTCATACATTTTTAAAACAATATAATTAGTTATAGATAGTCCTGCTGTTGTCTCAAGAGGGACCGTTTGACTCATTTTCTCCTGCAGACTGCTTTCTTATTCAGCTCTCTTTCTGATCAATATATGGTCTCGGGTAAAGCATTGTTGAAATTATAGTGTTGATAAAAATGGCTAAAAACAAAACAGATACTGTAGGAAATGAGCTTATTTATTCAATCACAGTTACTGAAAAAGAAACTCCAACTATTTGCTCATGTAGAAAACAGAGACTTCTCTCATTTCACTTAGCACATACAGGACAATGTCTCCACTGAGGTGGGACAGGGCCGCACACAAATCTAACTAACAATACAAAAACATACATGTCTAATCCATCACATCCTGCACACACAACAATGGCTCAAAATAATCTCTTAAAACATGCATTGGCAAACAGAACTGCATTTGAGAACTTCAGAAAAAAAATACATCAGGGAAGTGAAAAACAGAGAAAAAAGGATTTAAGACTCAGGAAAAGGAAAAGATCTTCATAGTGGCCGGCAGTCAACAAAAGAGGGCAATGAGATGTTTCGAGGATTGCTTCATAGCAACACGTTCTCACTCCCAACTCTTGAAGCTTGGTCAGGACCACTTCACAAAAGTTTCAAACACACTGGGTCCCTAGTAAGTGTCAGCTTTCCACATGCAGGGAAGTCCGATAGACTTCAACAAGTGGTTAACAAAAGTACTTGGCTAGGAATGAAACTCATGGTTTGGGTTTAAATAAGTTCTTTAAAATCTTTGTCCCCCCCACTTTCATGTGTTCTGGTAATTAAGAGGTAAATTCTCTTCCTTCTAACAGGTTGGACCTTTATCCAATCCTTAACCACCATTGGGTAGCCGAATTCAAATAAAATCAAAGTGATCTGACATTCAGCCCGCCACAGACTAGGTAGGATTAACACAGTTTCATAATGAATGGAAAATATTTGTACACTTCTCAAGGTTTGGGCCGGCATGGAGAGGATCCCTTCGGGTGACCTTTCCCATGCTCTGGTTGACTCTCGCGGGGCACCGCAACCAGCTCTAGGTTGGCTTGGAAAGGCCCGGGGTGAAGGTGACTCGCGACTCCTTTTGCCAGGACCTCGCCAGCTTCCGGGACTGTGGACTCAGTGCTCGCACCCCATCTTGTTTACCATGCGTGGTGGGTGTGATTTACTGGAGCACAGAGTTCTTCAAAGATCTAGTCTCTTCCAGGTTAGCATGCCCCCGTACCAATCTAGAGGATCGGAGGTGCACCCACCACAGTCTCACAAAATCCTGCAGGAAACACAGTATTAGGCCCTCAAAACTCAATATGCTGCCACTGATGCGGAGTCATCTGACCTAGAGGCGTAGGTGGAGCGCCATAGTTGGACGAGTTGGGAGTGAGAACACGCTGGTTATTAAGTCCAGGAGAAAGTACACAACATCTCAGTAACAATGGCACAATATCACACGATATGTTGGTGGCAGTGTTTCGTTTAACTTTCAGTTCCATAAACCATCTCTTGCTACAGCTCTTCTACCACAATCTAACACCTCCAATTCAAGTGTCTAAAAGAATCAACACATTGCTGCAGTCTAGCTACCAACAAGCAGCACTTCATTACAAACATGGTACAAAGAAAACAACAACTTCAACAGTCACCTTCGGATGTCGGTTGTTTCAATCTAAAATTCAACATTCTTCTTAACAGCTACAGAAACCTTTAAAGAAAGTAAAGAGAAACTCAGCTGGGAATTTCATTTTAATGAATGAAGTTTCACACACGGCAGTGGAAAGGTACGCAGCAACATACCTTGTTATCTTATTGAAACTGCAGTGTAATCCGACTGTCCAGCTGCATCCACTAATTATAGCCTGGCGTAATGGATTCACTATCCACAGAAATTATAATTATTACAGTTGTAATTAGTGCCAATTAGAGAAAAATCATTTATATATGCAGTAAAATGGATGTTAATTATTTGTGGCTGGGCACTGTGGGAAATAAACACTTGTGTGCCGTTATATTTATGAGATGTAAGGGAACAAATTAAATCTAAAAACAGGGTATTTTTAGTCACAAACTTTAGTCTCTTTGATTACAGTGGCATTCATGAGAACTCTCGCTAGACACTTGTTCTACTCAAATCCTTCACGATGTCTTTAGAGACGAGTTTTACAACTGTAGAAATCTTAGCAAACATTAGAAGTATGAGCGACCTAGAACAGGACAAAGTAATATGGCAAGAATGACGGAAAAATGTTGCTTTGGTTTTGGCTAGGTTCTGCAAATAACGGTGTATTAAACAACTGGTAGGTGAACTCCGCCGCACAGGTATCACGCACACGGTCGACATTGGACAAGTCAGAAAAATCTTTCTTGCTCTCCACAGAAAAGCTATATTGCATACTGTAAAAGGTAAAGAACCAGCGTTTCGACTAATACTAAAAAAAACATGTTTTATATCATTTGCACATAAATAAATCTGCTGATTTGTTTTTCGGTAGAGACGTGGTTTAACACTTTCTTTCTTTCATGGGTACAGTATACTTTCCATTCATTAAGGGCTGTTGCCGTTGAGTTCTGACCCTGTGGTTCAAGTCTTTTGCACTTCGACTCTGTGTTGTCTGTGCTGGCCAAGGAACATTACTGTGCAAGAGCTCAGCAGCCTGCTCGAGGATTGTAAAGGTATGCCATATCACATTTGCCAACTCCCACTGGACAAACTGTAATCAAACACTCCACTGTTCCAATTTGATTGTCTGGAACAAGCATGACTCAACCTTTTGTGTAAAACAAACTGGCACTAGGTCCTGCACATAAGAACGTCTGCAAAGGGGCCCAAGAGGTTCTTGTTGAAGATACACCTGACCCACACCAGGTAGGTGGTGAAGGGCTTAATGTTCTCTGAAAAGGTGTAGTTCTGCTGGGGGAGGATATAAGGCATGTAGGTGTTCTCTCCCTGCTCCTGGATCCACACTTCGTACTTCACCTCTCTCACCTTTAAGTATTTCAGATTCCACGGGATCTGCCAGGAGACTGTGAGTTTAGCCTCGTTGGTGGTTTGTACCGAGGTCTGACACTGGGGTTGTCTGACCCGGCCTGGGTGGACTGTGCTGGCCGGCTTTGACTTCTTCACGCTGGGCTTTGTCTTCATACCCTCTTTAAGGGCTTCCAGGAAGGAAGAGATGTCCACCAAAGTGTCCTGGTAGATTCGGAAGAGCCACTCTGGGTTGCGGCAGCACAGGTGCCTGGGGACATCTCTGCTCTCCAGTATACGCTCCTGCTCCTCCTTCTCCAAGTGAGTGATGCCCCCTTGCTCCCAGGGTCTGTCTGGGTGGGTGATGGTGTTCTCCTCCTTAGTGTTCCGCCAGGAGATATAGTGAAGGTCCATGCCTGGAAGGGTGGCGAGGGTTTTATACGGGGTGTACTGCTCTGGGTTCACAGCAAAGGGGAACAGCTCCACCACAGCAGCTCCTCTTGGGAGGAAGAGTGAGGTAATGAGCTGAGCGCCATGCATACTGACCAACACAGAAGCGCCGCTGATCACCTGGACGATACTGGGGAAAGACTCTTCCTCTAGGGACACTGTGACCACTCTCATCTGGAACTCCTGGGCCAGCTCCATGATTAGCTCCGCCTCATTCAGTATCAGCCTTGTTGTTGAGCGACTGAACACGACGATGTAATCATCCTTTCTCTCTTTCTCATCTTCGGCACTCCCTCCATCCTTCTCCTTCTCCACATTTGTTGTGATGTTCATTTTCTCCATCAGAGCCCTCGCAAACTGTCTGATCTCATTTCCTGAGACCAACATGTTGGCCTTGGGCCCCTGTGGTTGAACAAAACCGTACTGGTACCAGGTGGTCATCTTGGACAGGCCAACGTAAGATTTAGTGAAACACATGAGCTTGCCAAAGTTCTTAAGCTGCTCTTTGAGCAGTGGCTGCTTGCTGCTGAGAAGTCGGTAGAGGTCAAAGTGTGGGCCTTCGCTCCAGCCCTCCATAAAAACCAAACGCGCCTCATCATCTAAGTCCGAATACTGTTTCATAGTGTAGAAGGCTGGGATCAGGTCATCGTGGAACACGTGCATTAGGTTGTCTGGATTAAACCGGTTTAGGATCAGAGTCACATCCGGTACGAACACAGGCTTAGGCATAAACTTTAAAGCAGCAGCCGGGAGCTCTAAAAAGTTGAAGTACTGGGTGTTGTGATCCTCTACTGAAGACAAGTCCAACAGAGCAGGTTGGAAGCGCCTCGACCCCAGGTTTGGCAGCATGACAGAGGAATTGGAGTGGAAGAACACAAACTCCTCTGCCTCGGAGCAGTAGCAGAGGTAGTCAAAGCGGCAGACGCGGTCGGTGTGCATCTTGCCGGTGCAGACCATGCGGGTGCCGTGTTCCTGAAGGGCCTGCAGGGCGACGTGGTAGTCGATGTGGGCCTGCGAGAGCTCCTGGGACTGCCGTGTCATGTGCAGCTCTTCCTCCAGCAGGGCGGCGTGCTCACTCAGCTTGGAATACTTCCAAAGCAGTGCTGCGACAACGGACACCAGCAGCCCGTTAAGGAGCGCACCCACGCTCATCCTGCAGCCTGCCACCGAAGCCCGCATCACTGCTGCCGCGGACCCACCTCCCGTCTCCAGCTGGCCTCCGACCTCAGTGGGAGGGGACGAGACATCCGCCACTGGACAACAACTTGGGAAAGGAAGAAAGAGGAGGCAGAAGAACGGTGACCACAGATGGGAAGGGGAAGGATAGAGCAGGGGAGGAGAAAGCAAGGACGAGAAAAGAAGAAATGACAAAAGGTTAAGAACAAACTAATCATAGATCCAATCTAAACAAAAACTAAACATCAGATTAACAGTGCAGTTGACAGCAAAGATCACTGATATAATTACCAAATCAATAGTCAAGCCTATAATGCTGAAGTGCTCTTGTCACGTAGGCGAAACAATGCAGCGGTGCATAAGAGCAGGTTTCAGCTCTCACCGTTGGGAATAGTGGTTGTTTACCTTGGCGAACAAATGAGACATTTTCCTAACCTTACATCCCCTGTCACCCTCCCTGGATATGTCAAGACAAATTACACTGCGAGGAGGCACAGGGAAAAGAACAAGGGCATTGCTCTCAACTCGGCTCATCTGCATACTGAGGGAACAAGTGAGTCATTGAGGGACTCTAAATCAAACAGGAAACAGCTGCCTGTAAACGCGAGGCAAGTGGCATGCTAAACACCCGTCTAAGGACTAGCCTAACCAACCTGCAGAAAGTAAATACTTTGCCATTTCCTTCCTCCAATCCGATAAAAAAATGTTTTCCTTACCGATACCAATTCCGATTGAATTTGCGCATCGGCCTATACCGAGTACTGATCCGATACAAGTGGGTTAAAGACAGATAAAGTTAAAGACGTCATAATTCCTTCTCTAATATCTATTATATATTGCTATGAAAACATCTCCTTCAAAAAAACATATTTATTCAAGTTTCTTGCCAAACACTTAATTTTACAAGATAACATTTATGATAATTTATAATTTACCATTGCCCAATACTCATTTTTACTCAATTGGGTAGCCAGTGACACGTGTTGTTGTTCCTGAGTTGATAAATTATACGATAACGTGATATCAGATCGGTGCAGGCTCCAGCATTTTAGGCTGTATCGGAGGCAAACATGCACCAACACGCAGCTGAGAGGAGGGAAAGGGACGACCTCAAGTCCGTACTTTGGAATGATATCCAATACGTGACGAAATGGGATTTAGAGAGCGACTCTTTCCCTCTCTGAAGCTGGCCTTATGGCAGAGAGTAAACTAAATCAGGTCAAACTAAACCAAGACAGGTGTCGAGGTGACACACACACAGTACAGATTCATAGAAGTAGACATGACCAACAGGCTGACGCAAGCCTAAACCGGCAACACGTCGACCAGCTCGTTTCCGTCTGTCTGGCTTGGGTCAGTAGTATTCCATAACTCACTCAACTGACTTTTTCCTAATGCTCCCTTTTATCGTGTACACTGTTTCCCAGTTACTGTCCAACAAGATTGACTCTTTTGCTTTATTTGCGCCCTAGTTGTCGCGTTCTTCCCCTTCTTTTTCTCTTTCCGCTCCTCCTCCGGTTTTGTTTTGCGTGCTGCTGCCTCTGTTCTGCAGGAGCAGAGTGGAGTCCCTGGGCTATTTTTGACATCCCAACAAGTACAATATGTCACTGGCAACAGGGTCACTCTTTGTGATGAAATGCAGCGAATGCACACGGGCACAATATGCACAACTCATAATGCCGTCGATTGAAAAGACACAATCTTGAAGCGCATTAAAAGATAGGAAGTCTTACTGCTGAACACTGGAATATCCAACTACCTATTGTCCACTGTAGGCTGAAAACATAGTGATGGTTATCAAATCCTGCACTTTACATCTCAAGTGACATTTTCGTCATGAAGGTCACGGAGACTGCCAGGAAAAGATTTGTCGACTCTTCCACTAAAGATCACATACTGAGCCTGAGAACGCTCCGTGTTATTTCCCTTGACAAAATGTCATGGGCAGTGGATGTGAATATATATACTGCAGTGTCGCCTCGATGCTGACTCGGCAGCCAAAATAAGGTGAAATGAAGTGTGAAGAGGAGGCTGCTAGTAAGGCTGACATTAGGCAGGCTTTCCTGCACGCTCCTTCTCGTTCACGAGGACACAATGGCAGTACGAGGCTCATGGCGCCGGCAGTGCATGGCAGGCTCCCGCGGGGACGCGCGCCGATGCCCTCTGCAATTTGCCCTCCCTGAGCCGAGCAACCGAAAGCCTCGAAAATGTCAAAAGACACCGCAAGACACCGCTCATTTGCATCGGCACGTTTACCAGGCAACAAACAAGAGACCCTTCTCCGGTTCTGGTTTGGGTTATTTAAAACAAGCTGAAGGAAGCTGAAAACATTCCCTGAATCTGCTCTCTGTGTAGCAATTTAAAGTGACCTTGAAAACAAACAGCATCCCGTCGGCATTGTGAGGCAGCGAGCCGAGGCACTGCCCGGGAAGAATGCTCAAATTAGGAGAAGGTCACAGCAATTCCAACTGTTATCAAATGTTAGATGAGATCCATCTCCTGAGCGACGCCAACACTGGGGAGCGGCCTCATATCCATATTCTATTTCAGAGTGTGTGTGCTATTAAGTAAGTCACTGCTTCTGTGTCTATATCCCTCTTGTCTTATGCCTCCTCCATCGGAACGAGGCAAACTCCCCTCTGAGGAGGCACCAACTGCCGGTATTCTCACGAGACTGCTGCTACAGGTTCAGCTTTTCTTATTATCGCCATCCAGTCAACTGTGGTTCCACACGAGTTACTTCAAACTCCATCCCAATCAAACAGAACTTCATTGTTGTACCAAACTTTTTTCACTGCAGAGCAATGTGGTTGAAGTCAATAACCGGATATTTAGAGATGCAACAATTGGAATTTTCTCAGCTGATTACTGATTTCTTTTGAAGTCTGACCTGACGATTTACTTTCTAAGAATTAGGATTGACTACAAGGCTCAGGTCGGATTTTTTAATTTTTTTATTGTATTGTCATCTTGTGGTTTTTGCAAAAAGCACACAACTCAAATTATAAGGAGATAAATGTTTGTATTTCTATTGAAATACTTGCTCTAACGTTACTGTGTGCCAACGTACAACTATCATGTGGCATATGTCTGTAATATTAATCGGGAATATGTGCACAGTCGAGGCGGACGGGGAAAGTTCAATGATTTAAGGCGACTGGCTTACAGGCGACTGGCTTACAGGCGAATGGCTTACAGGCGACTGGCTTACAGGCGAATGGCTTACAGGAGACTGGCTTACAGGAGACTGGCTTACAGGAGACTGGCTTACAGGCGAATGGCTTACAGGCGAATGGCTTACAGGAGACTGGCTTACAGGAGACTGGCTTACAGGAGACTGGCTTACAGGCGAATGGCTTACAGGAGACTGGCTTACAGGTGAATGGCTTACAGGAGACTGGTTTACAGGCGAATGGCTTACAGGCGAATGGCTTACAAGCGACTGGCTTACAGGCGAATGGCTTACAGGCGAATGGCTTACAGGCGAATGGCTTACAGGCGAATGGCTTACAGGCGAATGGCTTACAGGCGAATGGCTTACAGGCGAATGGCTTACAGGAGACTGGCTTACAGGCGAATGGCTTACAGGCGAATGGCTTACAGGCGAATGGCTTACAGGTTAATGGCGACACAAACTCCACACAGCAAGGACGATGAACCGACAAAGGAGCCGAGGAGATGGGTGGTCTGGGGGCTGAAGAACGGAGCTGGGGACCTCAAGCGAGACGGGTCAGGGCAGAGGCGGAACAGAAAACCCAGTCAGTAATGTGCTGCTTGTAATGCGTCTCATAAAAATTAAAAATAAAATTACAATGATACTTTTCATTTCGATGGCAGCCGTTGTGATTTATAGCAACGGGGTCTAATCTCTCAGTTCAATTATCACAACGGTATCGATGATTAAAGCACTAAAATCTTGCTTAATGATTTGCTCTCTGCACTAAAAGAAATATCTCAAGTCAGGATCCAGATCTGCAACTGCTGTGTGAGCCAGTAACAGCACAGGGCCCCGTTAGCCTAGTTAAATCAACATCTGACTTTGTACTGACTATCATCTTCTAGCAGGCAACTCATTACAATAGATTCAACAAATGCAAGTGATGGGGGTAGTCAAAGGCTGACTAAATTAAAATTACATTTTTGTCCTAGTTTTGACACTCATTTTCCAAAACATTCAAACTAAAATTCTGAAGCAGAGCTCCACACCATCGTGCTCACACACTGGTTGATTGGAGGACCGCCATCAGCTGCCAGGCAAGTTCGAAAACACACAACCTTTTTTTTTTTTTGGTTATTTCTGCTGTAAAGTTTGGCATTTTAATATGGGGGTCCATGGGGATTGACTGCAGTTTTTGGAACTTCCGCCTTGGCTTCATTCCTGAGCACCGGAGGTTGACGCTTGCTAGTAATACATAAAAAAGAGAAGGGTTGAAAATATTTTACTTTACGTAAAAAAAGAAGTCAAATCGGCCTGTAAGCTCCGTAGCGATTTGCCAAAAAACTGACAAAGAAAAAGGGATGCGGAAGTTCGGAAAGTTGATTAAGTTTAGTCCTTGCCAGGTGTGGATACCAATACCCTTTCCCCACCAAAATGAGTGCATATATGCAGGTTTTCTGGTATTTCCCGTTTGATTTCACAAACACGTCACCTACTTCTTTTTTATATCTGTTACTTATTCGGTCTCGCTTCAAACTCGGTGCCGAATGATTTGGATCCACGTTCGAGCACTGCTGGGACGGAGACGGACAAAAGAAAATTGAAGCTCAAATGACAAAGATTGCGCTGCAAAAAGGGGCACAAATTTCCGTGTTCACCCGGGTGTCTTTGTTTCCATCGGCGCTGGAGCCGATTAATACCCGTGATCACGACTTTCATTGCGAGTAGCGCTGCCTTCGAAGCTGGCTCTGAAGCTCCGGCTTCCCCAATGTTACTGGTTAGCATATCCAGTTTGCTCTGGAGACGATAAGCGGCCCAGTGATGTGGTGGAAGGTAGGCAGACTGGAGACTCTAATGCATTTTAATAAGACTCCTGGAAAGCTGAGGGGGCTGTGGGAGGGAGGAGTGGTGGCGGTAGCTCCTGTGCAGTGGCAGCTCATTCGGGGGCCCTGGTGTTCAATCATTCCTTGCAACTCACCGTTCTTCCCCTTTGGAGTTAATCTTCCCTCCTTCTCTGCATTTCTTCCCTTTTCAAATCGTCAAGGAGCGCCCTGACATGCCTCTTCAAAAGAGGAATCTTTTTTAAAACGGTGACGTTGACTGCATCGCTTTTTTTCCTCCCTCTACCTGCCTTTCTTTCCCTTCGGCCGCTTTATTGCTGATCTCCTGTGGACCACGGTGAGGCGTCCACATTCGTTTGTGGTCTGTATTCCTGGACCAAATGTGGCCTGTCAGGTCGGATCAGGCAGCTCGGAGCTCAGTGTGGCACTAGGGGAGAATTAATGGTCCGGCAGCCATAATCTGGCTGTACAAAGATAAGTCTCATACCCTGTCTCTCACTTTGCATCTCTTTCTCAAACATGTTTGGACAGACGGGCACACACACACACACACACATAGTTCTATTACATAAAAGCAGCGCAAGGCCATCCGGTCTATTGGTTGAAAATAGCCTGGCTGGCTTCATAATGACTGGCAATGAGTGTCAGAAAATGCCCCTGGTCCGCATTAAGACACACGGCATGTCTGTCTACTCGCCTTTTCTGAACCGAGGCTGATTACTCGCCTGATTGATGGCCTGCTACTAACTAACGTCTCCGTCCTCTATATCGTCCGCTAACAGCGCCCCACGATGCCTTGTGAAATACAGCAGATAGGAGGCCGAGACTGTGCCCACATTGTGCTCAATCTTCACCCAAGGGGAAGAAGAAAAAGCAGAGGCTTAATGTGGACAATCTGTGTGTGTTTTGTGTGAGACAGACAAAGTGAGAAGGACATCCTCTACGGCACTTCTGGTCTGGCCTCGGGACTACAGGCAGTATTCCAGAAGGGGACAGAAATAGAATACAGAGTTCTGGATGGACGCTTGAAGATTTCTGCAAGTGCTCAAGCTCTTGAGTCGCTGCTCCCGTATATATTTCGGAAATTTGGGGTAAGCTGAGAATTCGGAAAGATTTCCATCTTGTTCAAATTTGCGTAGGACACGCCAATTTGACATGCGACAAATGCAGAGCTACCGGCTGGCTACCACAAGGCCTAAATCGTGCATGCACAGAAACACTTGCCTCACTGTTGGTCTTTAATGAAAGATACAGCCCACCCTCGAGGCCAGGTGGATGTGGAAATCATAATTTGGTTTTACAGATACTGAGGCAATCTGGAGCTGGGTACAAGGTTGAATAAATGACTACTAAGGTTGTTCCCAAGACACCACAAACCCAAGAAAGAACCCCAGGCTCATACAAAGGGCTTGAAGTCAACGGACAGGCAAGTTCAAATGGAAGTTTTGGAACTAGAACCAACACTTTTCTTGTCAGTTAACCCAGTGGCAAGCTGGCAACCATGGACAAGCTTAGAAAAGCGGATGTGCACCGGTCTTTATTGGAGGTGGGGAAGTTAACCGGACATACATTTGCCAAACTGTCCATGTCGTCCTTGAATTAGTTTCCCTTGTTAAGTCAAAATATACAGTTTGAAAACATTTCAGATAAAGAATAAATCGCACCTTTGTGTTGCTTGTCCCAGTGCGTTGTCAAGTGTAGCATCTTCAAAATAGATGCACCACTTTTAGAAATCCTGCAATGTATTAGTCTGACACACAGGGCGGAAGATTTGAGGTACATGCACTACAGCACCTTCACAAGCCTCTTGAACTATGATCGCCAAAAATGTAGTTTATGTGCACCTCTGCACAAGTCAGCATTTCGGTTTTGTGAAAAGCGGCAAAGAACGGCTTTTGAATTGTTCCCAAAGACAAGAGTAGAAATTAGGGCTGCACAATTAATCGAAAAACGCAACATGGCCTCCTGTAATTTTCAAATCGCAGGCGGCTGCAGAGATGTCTTGGCCTACATATGTTCTGCAGACTTAAGAAAACATCTGTTCGGTACAAAACTGAGCCATTGCAGCCAATCAATATGCTGAATCCAGAGAATTCCATCCAGCAAAATACAGATGCAATGTGCAACAGCTTGGAAAACATCTTCAATTTTAGGGTCAACGACCCTTTATGAATGGCAGGGGGATTTTAAATTAAACCACATCACTATAACCTGAGATATTGTGATTTTGGCAGAGTTCCCATAACTGTAGATCTTATATGAGTCAGAGATCCATCTGAAGAATACAACAAACTCCAGGGACATGAAACAGCATCTGGTCTGGGAGGTGATGGACCATAAATATCACACAAGCAGCACTGTGTTGTTGTTGTTTTTTTACATGTTCACAGCACTGGTGGCATGCTGGAACCGACAAGGAGAACTAAAGATAAATCCCTCAGCCTGTTTTTGTTTCCCCAAACTGTTGTTACAATGGGAGCTATTCTTCTTCCATATGTGCCCCTAAACCTTACCATTACATGTTACTGATGCACACTAGGGAGCTGGGTACAGATGCACTGAGGCAGGTGCATCTACTGGAACACAATTTTCTCCTCTTATTATTTGTGTATTGGAGTTTAACCAATGTGGTTAAACCAAAGATTCACAGACTACATCGGAGTTGAACATTATCAAACTGAGGAAGGGGTCATCGCAGTGGGGCATATCGTGGGATAAGTGATGGATTGCTTCTTTTAAAAAAAAGAAGAACTGTTCATATCAATGACTTGCCTTATATGATGACTGACTAGAGGTCAGCTTTAACACCTTTAACGCAAAAACACATTGTATGGTGGTTACATGCTAAGTTATAGGTTGGTGGAAGGGAGGAACCGACCCAACTTTTTCAGTCCCAATACCAGTTCCGATATATAGGCTTTGGGTATCGGCCGATAGAGTACTGATCCGATACCAGTACGTTAAAAACAAAAAAAAAGTGAAACCGGTCCTAATTCCATCTCTAATATCTATTTTATATTGCTGCGAAAAAATCTTCTTCATACAACTATATTTATTTGAGTTTATTGCCAAAACTTACCGTTACAAGATTATATTTGAACACATTAAGATAACGTTACAATTTTCCTTTTGCCCAATACTAATTTTTACTGACTAGAGCCTGAACACATCATAATGTAACTCAATGCAACCTCCATTAGAGTTAGCTGTTTTTTAGCCTAGCAGGCCTGTACGGCATACCGGCAGCTAACAGCTAACGTTAACTAGCTCTTCTGCCGATTTCAACCTGGATTTGTTGATCACGATGTTGGTAGTACTAGTTTGCACACGGGTAGCGAGTGACATGCGTTGTTGTTGTTGTTCCTGTGTAAGCATATATGATATTATAACGTGATATCGGATGGACGCCAAGACTCGCGTACTTGCCGATGCTCAATCCATTTCAGGCTCTATCGGAGGCATTTCCAATTCTGGCATCAGTATCAGGAGCAGCTCTAGTGACAGGGATCATTCTTTAATGTGTGAGGTAGCATCAGACTTGACTGCAACATTTCTTTTCCCTAACTTTGTAAAACAAAATGAAACAAATAATTACAAATCACATTTATTAAGGTGTTATTCATTGTTGAAATTTAAAAAAAGAATAATTGTACAACAGAAAAAAAAAAGTCTTAAAAATGAACAGAAATTACAATTCAGGTGTAAACAGAATTTAATTGAATTGAGCGAACCCATTGCCACAGATAGCCAATCCAGCTACTTGGGTCAGTAATGGACCAGTATCAGTACCTGCGCATCCCTGGTAGGTAGGTACTACATATCAAATTAGAAAACAATGTATTAATATCAATTTAAAATAGATGTGTGGACACTGTGAATACAGGTTCCTCCTGACTGCACTCACATATATTCATTCATACCATCAATTAATTTCAGTTTTTTTTTTTAAGTGAATAATATTAACAGCACTAAATACTTCTAAGGCCATATGCATGTATTAAATACTTAATCTGGTATATATATCTATCTACACACACACACACACACACACCACACACACACACACACACACACACACACACACATCTATGAGCGTATCTTTAACTATAACTGTGGATCAGCTGAAGCTCCTCTCTTGCGCGGTAGCAGCGGGACACGCTCATTTGTGAGCCATCAACACTGCAAAAGGCACGAGCCCCAGTGACAGTCCGGCTAACAGCATTGTGTCGATACAAACACGGTGACACAAAAACGAGCCATTATCTGCACAGAGGTTCTTACCTTCGGTCTCAGTGAAAAATGTTGCTTTTTGTCTTTGAAGTCAGTTGAGGGGCTAGCTCAGTGCCTCCCCGCAGAGACGACTCGTGAGCACAAGACGTGTGGAAGGAAAAAGAAGCACGGAGGCGGACACCGGCACTACGAGTCCAAACACACCGCGGCGCGTTCGGTCCTTCGCTTCTCCGAGACAGCGGCGGCGCTTTGAGATGTTGTTTACAAGCTAACCTAGCTGTCAGAGAGGCAGCGAGGCAGAGAGAGAGACGGGCAGAGCAGCTGCCTGGATACCGACTCCACTCTGCTGCGTCCAGTCTCCGCCTACCGCCAAAGGGGAAGTCCCGCGCTCAAATCTCGCGATGGCACACGGGCCTCTGTAATTGTCACATGTGGGCCACTGATAGCTATTACATGCTGTGCGTATTGATCTGCTACAGGGAGGAAAGATCCTTTTATTTGGCAAAAACATCGTTTTTTCTTGCACTTTTTGATCTATTTGCTTATTTGTCTTCTTTCAGACTAGGAAAAAAAACATCCAAAATTATAATATTCAAAAACCTAATTCCATAAGACATTTACAACAAATACCTGATTTACCTGTAATGTCTTCAAAATATATGTCATTTTACAATACATCTAAATGCTGTTTTCTCAAAATAATTCCACCTCAGTAGCACTCACACACAACCAAACTTTACAGTTTCACTCCTATCTATATTCTGGAAGTCATTACAGAAGGGTTTATTCATATATCATTCAAAGCCTGATTTATACAACATTTTATTACTAATAACATGAATGAATGAATTAAACAGATTTTTTTTACAGCTGTTGACAGTATTATCTGATTTATGGAGTGATACAAAGAGATTTCCGATATTCCCTCTGTAAAAACCTCCTTATGTGTCAACAAAATGAAACAAGAATTTTGAGCCTGGCTTAATCCAATAGTCAAATATCTGTTCTGGAAATAAATGCAAATTAGCACATATTTGATAAGATAATGCATCATTTACATATTTAGTCTTACATTTTCAAATATTATAGGCTTGCTATACACAAATAATTGTCTTAATGTCTAATTAACTCGGGAAATTTCATGGTGATATCTATTAGTTACATTTTCTCCCCTATTAACCTGTATCCCCTCCTTATCTAATGTAAAAATGTAAAAATGGTCCTTTACAATTATATGTAAGTAAGCGTTTGTATTACCAGCTAAATGTAGGCTACTTAAAAGTATAGCAAACCCAAAGAAGATCTCTGCAGTCTTGACATGTTTGCAGAGTGCAATATGAAATGAAATGAGAAAGCGAAAGCGACTGCCTATCTGGACGTAGGCTGATTGACCTTAATAAGCGGAGGGCGAGATGGAGGAGCAAGGAGCGGGGGAGATAGATGTCGAGAATTTAGAAGCAGAGGGCAACCTCAGAGGAGAGAAAGAAAAAAAATTAAGTGGATTCATCGAGTCAATGCGAGAGTGAACGGGAGAAAGAAACCCTACATCAGGGGTCACCAACCTTTTTTAAACTGAGAGCTACTTCAAGGGTACCAAGTAGTATGAAGGGCTACTTATTTGATACAAACTTCCTGAATAACAAAGTTGCACAGATCACCTTAATAATAATATATGTGAAGAGACTGTTTGATCACATGTCAGTTAATTATTCCTCACAATAATTATTAATAATGATTTCCACAACAATGATGGTATAGCTACACATACATATTTAAACATGCAACTTTTATTTCTGTTAATCTGTTTCAACATTTGAAAGTCAGAGTCATCACGTGATTGAAGCTGGTTACTTTTGCACATAGCGCCTGCTGGTGAATGATGCAGTGGTAATGTAGAAATTATGGGTCACCTTTGCATTGCGCAATGAAGCCTGCATGTCGGCCCGTCATCGCGGGAGCCCCGTCTGTTGTCACCGACACCAGCTTTTCCAATGGTACCTTTTTCTCCACGAAGAAACTAGTAACCAGTCTGGTCTATAGCCGAGCGGGGGATCCAACCCTCCGTGGCGCGCGAGCGTCTTCGGGCGCCCGCGTTCAAACCTCTAGTCTGGGCCTTTTCGGTCGGATTGCGTTGCCTCGCCTGTACCCCCGCCACCCCTGAGTTGTTGCCCCGCGGCCTGTTCCGAGCATTTACGGACCTGACGACGGGGTGCGCTCGCGGCTCGCGTCTGGCACCAACGGGATGCGCCCGCCATTCAGAACCTGAAAACCTAGTGCGGTGCGGCGGCCTCGTCCTGGCTGTCCGCCGTGCGCCTCCGGGTACTCAACTCTCTTAACTTTCTGCAAGTGTTTTTGATTAAAAAAGAACAGCAACTACAATTTTAGACGGAGCTCCATAATGACTAGTGCTATTTTTAGAACATGTCTTGCGGCGACTCACGTGGTCCCTGCTGGCGACAGGGTGCCCGCGGGCACCGTGTTGGCTACCTCTGCCCTACATGGTTGGAATGAAGATTCGGGTGTCTGATAGACGGGGCTGGATGTGGAGCTTTGTCTGGAGAGGCCCACTGTGAGGAGATGGGTTAAAAAGTAAGAGGGAGAAGATAAACCTTCACCTCGGGTCTTTTCAAGTTGACCAGAGCCGGTGTAAATGCTCCTGGCCCCATGTGCTGCACTCAATGTATGCACGAGGTCCCTGGTGGCTAGCTTATGCTTGGAGCCCTTTAGGTGCCGAGGAGCTAGTGGTCCGCTCACTCTTTAAACATCAAGGGGCCCTCACATTGTAACCGCTGAGGGGTCTGGGGGGCCTTAGTGGTTGGCTCACCCTATAAGGACAAAAGGGCCTAGTAGTCAGCCTGCGTTATATGCGCTCTCAGGGCCATGGCACTCAACTTCCTCCAGACGTCTTACGCTTGAGGCTTGGAGTCCACCTGGCAGTCCGAGGCCCTGGAGCACTGGCCCGTGGCCTGGTCCATAATCCAGTCGTGCTCTAGTACATAAGGTAGTATGTTACAGAACCGCTACAATGTCAGAGCTGTTGGAAGTTTGGAAAGATTGACCTCTGAATTTATACATCCTAAGCATTAGTTAGAAAAAAAACATGCTACTCAGTGTCTTCCTCAATGATACTTCATCAAGTGGACTGTGGGAGCAATAGGGACCAGGGATCAAACCACCAACCTTGTGGTCAAAAGTCAACCCACTCTACCCACTAGCCACAGCCAGCCCATATTTTTGCCACATGTGGTGAATGTGGGGGAAATGAACATGAAGACTGTGAGAAAGAACCAGAGTGCCATGTTTGCAAAGGTAATCATGCAGCATGGGAGGCTAACTGTCCAAAGAGAGTATGGACAAAGAAATAATCAGGGTTGGATGTACGCATGTGGAAGTCTGCAAAGACCTTGTATGGTGTGAGACAGGAAGCCAAGGAGGGCAAGTCAGTCAGGAAGCATAAGGAATTTTGCTTTTGTACGGGTAAGCTTTTGACCTTGTGGCAATGGTAATTAACTGTTCTGTTGGAGCAGAAGGAAAATCTGAGAAAACTGACATAATTATAGACGCAGCAAGAAGATTTCTGGGTGTTGTGGGAGGTTCTGTTGAAGGTAGAGCAGTAGCTGAGAGAAGCTGTTAGGCTGGGAAATAGAGACTTTGGAGCAGAGTGGGGAATGGGTGGGAGGGAGTTATTATTGTTTTATTTAGTAAGTGGAGAGTTAATTTAAATCCAGCAGTTAAAGGTTTAAGGTTCAAGGTTGATTTATTGTCATTGTTCAACAGGGTTGGGCAATGAAACACAGTTGTTGTCTTATTTTGCTATACAAGAAAAAAACAAAAAACTCCATTATATGGTGGAGGGTGGAGGATGAATTTAGGAGTCTCACAGCCAGAGGAAAGAAGCTGTTTTGAATCTGGTGGTACAGGTAACCGGCAGGGTGAACAGGTTGTGGCTGGGTGGGTATTGTCTTTTAATAACCTTTTAGCTCTTTGCAGGCACCCCTTGTCACCAATACCACTGATGTTCTGGGCGGTTTGAATCACCCACTGTAGAGCCCTCCTTTCCTGGGCCGTGCACATCCTATTCCAGTTTGTTTCCAGTCAGGATGCTGTCTATTGCTCCTCTGTAAAAGTTACCAAAAACTTGGCACAGACATTTTCTTAAGTTTCCTTAAGAAATAGAGCCGTTTATGAGCTTTGCTAACCAGGATGGAGATGTGTGAGGACCATGTCAGGTTCTCTGTGATGCTGATTTCAAAAAACTTAGTTGACGGTAATGCAATATTTTGAATTTGAAGAAGAAGCCTGTATTTTCATGTTGTGATAGTACTTACACTATGACATATAGGTTCATTACAACAGCTTTGAATGAAGAATTCGGACTCTCTTTTTAGTCTTGAATAGTTCGTTTTTCTGAAGTTATTAGTGGGCTCAATGAAGAGAAAAGTTACAAAATAAATGCTTTAGTCCCAGAATTGAATGGGCCGTGCTGCAATGTGATCAGGATATATTAAGCTGATCATTTAGCACACAAAAAACAACATACACAAACATTTTCAGCTAATTCAATTTTTTTTCTTTCAAACAAACTCCTGAGAAACAAACTGATATTTTGAGAAGAGTGGATCAGTGGCCCTACGAGTCAAATACAAGGCAACACTTCCATCTTGAGTTTAGAAAGCAACACTGCCAGCATTGTTTTTATTGCTGCGAGTATGAAATCATAACCAAATCATTAGATACTTTGACAAATGTAGATAAGTAAATATATGGTCAGTTATAAATAAATATTATAATAAATAGATAAATAAAAAAAATACATATTTAGCTCAGGTCATATTGTCCTTGTCTTTTACACTGTGTCTACACTTGTCTTTTACACTTGTGGGCGACTGTGGCTAAGTGGATAGCAGGGCCGTCTTTCAATCAGAGGGTTGGCGGTTCAATCTCCGGCTCTGCTAGTCGCATGTCGATGTGTCCTTGAGCAAGACACTCAAACCCAAAATTGCTCCTGTAGTTGAGCCTACGGTGTAGAAATGTGATAGACTCTGAATTGTAAGTTGCTTTGGATAAAAGTGTCTGCTAAATGACTGTAATGTAATGGATAAAAACTAAATTACCTACAAATGAATGAAAAATTGAAGGCTAAAAATAACATTGTGTAGCCTATGTTAATAAGGTATTACATGCTTCTTGAACAGCCTTAGTCTCTGAACGCTACTAGAGGGATGAACGCCATTCTTCCCAGTAGATCAGGATAGAGAATGCTGCATCATAGGATAAAGTCCTAATTTGATGTGACCCTTTCCTCTTTGACTCAAGCATTCACACTGTAATGCCACACATGCACTTGCTGACATCTGACCACATTACTTTTTATTTGGACTGAAGCTTTTAGTTTAAAAAAATATTTTAAACTAATAGATATCACCATGACACTTCACCAGTTTTGATGAATTCGGGAGAAATCTAGACTTGAATAGACAAAGTAGTAAAATAAACAACTTCATGTGTATTTTGGATGTTATTTTTCTTCTTTTACTTGTCTGAAAGAAGACATGTTATAGAAGCAAAAATAGCCCAAATATCTCAAAATTGACCAGTGCATGAAAAACAATGTTTTTGCCTGTAGAGTCTCGCCTTAATTGCATCAGGCAGTACGACTGGATGGAAGCACCTACACCCTGATTATCTGAGTTTTCAACTGGAAAAGCACTAAAGGGGCTAACAACATGACTCATGGCTTCGTTGCAATTATGTGTGAAAGTTGATAGATGAATGGTATTCAAGGCAAATTAATTGTCCGTCACTAGATGTCACTGTACGCCATGTATTGAGAGGACCAGTAACACACGGACAGAAGGCTCTATAAACCATTTACTATGATACACAAATACACTATAATCACTATATCAAGTGTTGTCGCCTGCTAATTAAATTATACTATTTGGGCAACATGTTGGACGTAGGCTACTGATTATCTCAAAACACACCAATTTAAAACCGTCCCTTTCATTAGGAACCAACTGCCATCCCTTTATCAATGAGCTACAAATAATATACCGCCATTCATTGTTGTGTAAATAGAATAATGTTTCAGCCACCTTTCCCAATCAAAAGACTTCGTTTGACGTCAGAGCTGAATGCGGTTGGCGATGCTCTTGTGCTGCCTTTCGGGGGTCCTCGTAAGGACCAAACTCCGAAGCTTCCAAATCGTGAATGCAACTTGTCAAACTTGTCCCGCAGGAAAGCCAACAATGATAACAACAAGAGCGAAAACGTGAAATGAATATAACTATTTTTTTCATTTCACAACGAAACAAGATGCATATATTTTGAACAGTGGACATCATTTCCGAACAGGTGTACGATGATTCCCCCCTGGTCATCCTGGCAAATTCTGATGGTGTTGAAAATCTCGACATTTTCTTTCAGTACGTGAAGGCAGCATCGCAGCCCCACCGCCGCGGCTGGGAGGATACAACGATTCCGATCAGGGTTGCCGTTGCCAACGATGCAATGCCTCGTTTTACAGATGAACCACCGGGCATAGGCACCCTCTGAGTGCCGCGGTCACCTCCTCGTCTTCCCCGACAGTTTGCGAGAAGCTTCAGTAGAGAGCACCCGTTGGAGCCAGGGCACCCGGTAGAGACCGGACTCGGGGGCTTTATGTTTACCGAAGCTGGAGAGGTGAGCCGAGCCGTAGAGTAACTTTAGCTTGCTACATGCTAACCCGGGCTAGCCGTGTAATATGTGAAGCACCCGTGTACCTGGGTGGCCAGCGCTTTGTTACACCGCTAAATGTATTTGTTGAGAGATTATCGCCGAGTTCGCTTTGTGAATTAGCGGGCGACATTTTAACGTGCGAGAACGGAAGCGGTTCACGCCAGTCGGCTTGTGAGCTAACGTATGTTAATCAATGAACAACGAGCTAGCCCCTGGTAGCGTGAGGCTAACGTGAGTTGTTGGTGCTACCGCTGGGCCCGTTGAACAGCGGACTTCTGGACTAGTCTGTCAAACTCCGCCGTGGTAGCCGAACAGCAGCATGTGTATGCAACTATAGGAAGCCCTTTATTACAGTTTAGGAAACTTGGTTTGTTGTTGCAGTACGCCAGGATACATTAACGCTAGCTAACGTTAGGGCAGCAGCCATCCTGTCAAAATAAGCCCAACCTGCCTCCTCTGAATATGCAGCAAGCAGGGCATTCAAGTATAACGTACATATATAATAATAATAATAATGTATAATAACATATCCAAGCATTAGTCTGCCCAATGCTTCACTGTGAGTAAGGGAGTGCGTGGGTATATTATTCATTCAAATATTACATTAAGGTGAACCAGAGAAATGTTTTCCATTGTATTTGGATGTGTTTAGTTTCGGTTTACTGGTCAACTTGTGTAACATAATAAGTGCTTATTGAAATTGTCGTAAATGGGTGTGTTTCCTATCATCTAGGAAGCTGGAGCCATGGGTTTCTCCTTCAGCCTTCGATGAACTGAACTAAGCTGGACCCGCACAACTCAGCCAACCCGCCCCGGCCTGCAGTGGGGGCCCCCCTCACCCCGTCGCCCTCTCCAGCTATGGCAGGCTTCAAGCGGGGCTACGATGGCAAGATCGCCGGCCTGTACGACCTGGACAAGACGCTGGGCCGCGGCCACTTTGCCGTGGTCAAGCTGGCGCGCCACGTCTTCACCGGGGAGAAAGTGGCGGTGAAGGTGATCGACAAGACCAAGCTTGACACCGTGGCCACGGGCCACCTCTTCCAGGAGGTCCGCTGCATGAAGCTGGTCCAGCACCCCAACATTGTGCGCCTGTATGAAGTGATAGACACCCAGACCAAGCTTTACCTCATTCTGGAGCTAGGCGACGGAGGGGATATGTTCGACTATATCATGAAACACGAGGAGGGTCTGAATGAGGAGCTGGCGAAGAAATATTTTGCCCAGATCGTCCACGCCATCTCCTACTGCCATCGGCTGCATGTGGTGCACAGGGACCTCAAGCCGGAGAATGTGGTGTTCTTCGAGAAGCAAGGGCTCGTCAAACTCACCGACTTTGGATTCAGCAACAAGTTTCAGCCGGGGAAAAAGCTGACAACTAGCTGTGGATCTCTGGCGTACTCGGCACCTGAAATCCTGCTCGGCGATGAGTATGATGCTCCAGCCGTAGGTATGCAAAACATGTAGGCTGATGAATGATGCGAAAGCAATGAAATGAGTCATGTTGTTCATTAGAAAATGGCAGAGGGATACAGCACAGCAGCTCTTTGATTCAGCCCATTTCTGAAAGTCTGGTGCCTTCAAGCTTTATGATCCATTGATTGTTTTAATTTGGATGCACCGGGCTTGTTGCCTGTGGCGCTAACTAAGTGTCCAGTCCACCTATTTAATCCCTCACCTCCCGAAAAAAGCCCGTCCCTGTGTCAGAACACGGGCTTCTGGCATCAAACCACACAGGACATCTTTATCAAAGTCCTATTAAAACCCAGCTTTTGGCACAGTGGTGTAATGAGGTCGGCAGTGTGGCTAACACCTGTTCCACACATTTTTTCATCACACCTTGCTGTAACACAATGGCTGTTAGTTTGCTCACGTGTTCGCCGCAGCTCGTTTTTGCATTTAGATCGCCTCAATCCTACGCCAGGGCTCCGTGCAACGGAACAATCAGAGCTGGACTTGTTGGGAATACCTAGCTGTGTGTTCCATTAGCATTATGCTGCTAACAGTACTTGACACTGATCGTTTTGCTGCCCGCCGTGGGCCATGTGCTACAAGGTCAGCTCTTCTAGCACTGATGTCAGTGGGTGTCCCATTGCACTAAATTAACTGGCTCATTGATTTTCTATGAGGCTTGACAGAGCACAGACAAACGGATCGCGTGTCCGTCCATTGCTGATATGATATCTCTCTCATCAGGTAGCTCAAACGACGGCAGGAACACGGGACTAAGTCCAGCTCTTGAATTGGATAACGAGATGTGCCAAGTTAAGCTTGTTTTTCGGTGTGGTTGCTCATGTGGTGTTAATCCTGGAGGGAGCCTGAAATCAGTCTCATGATTTGTTTGTGCGAATAGAAAATGCCTTCCGAGGCAGTCAACTCTGATTATTTGTTTCCCCTGTTTCGGTTAAGGTTCTCACCAACTTAATAGGTGCGGCACAGGTAATGAGGAAACTGGTTACTTTTCTCATTGACCTTTATACAGACGCACACAGACGCACACAGACGCACACATACTCGCATCATAAGAACCTCCATATTGTATGTTAGACCCGGGCGAATGAAGGAGGTCTATTGCTCTGTTGTTCAGAGGAAGTCCCCCACACTGACCCCTAGTAAGACTAGTGTTTAGTTTTGTTGATGAGCGTCTCGGACTGTGTTGAGACCTATCAACATTTCTATGGCTTGCTCTGACGGTCCCTATTTTATCTGACTGCTGAGCTCTTGATAATGTCTCAAGCCGTAAAAGCGTGTCGTGTTACTATAACAGCCAGCAAACAGGAGTTGTCATATCGATACCCGCGGCATAACCGCATGTTTTCATATGTTTGAAAACAGGACCTAAAATGTAGTTAATGTAAATGCTGGACAGCAAACGGCATTTGTTCCTTTAGGGATATTTAAATATTGCTGTTGGGGTCAGAACCTGAACCAGACAATGCTGCACGTGCGTTGGTGGGCACAGGCATCTGGCAAATGAATATGTTTTGATTGTGGAATAAAAAGTTCGACTAACCCTTCAACACAAAATTGATTCATCTGACAAAGAACCGGATGAACATGAAAAACAAAAAAATATTAATTGTGAAGTCCAGGGAGATGAACCATTCAGGCAAGGACTGTTGTATTTAGTTTAATGAAGAAATAACACAGATATTTGCCATATTGAAGTGTTTTATGCACAATTTTATGAAACCATTTAACACCGTCTTCAGAGAGGTCTTCACCGTGAAAGAAGAGGCCAAACTCCTGGTGATACGTGGTTTGCCCAACTGTTGAGGTCAGCGTCTGAAGACTAGGAGCCATCGTTTATCTTGCACCATTCTTCCCAGTAACCGTATTCCACCACGGGCTGTGCGTCGAGCCGTCACGGAGCTGTATCGCTCCCCTTTTTCCTTTCCACGAATTTCTAGCGTGCCACCATCTGTGCTGAGAGGCCGTTTGATAGCCCTAGTGCTCAGTATTATTGATGGGCACTGGATGTCTGCAGCTCACTATGCTTTATTGTGCTGAGCCGGGCTGTTTATGGGCCCAACAAGCTGCGCTCTCTGCCAGGTAGCTGCTGTGTATGTGATGCACTTAGGCACCGAGGTTCTACTTGTGGCCATGCTGTACAGCCACAGCCCTCTGCAGTTGTTGTAGTGTTGAGAGTACTCTTAGCCACTGATGGCCGTTCTCTGGTGCTATGTTGTCTGTGCTCCTCTGTGCAGCATTTTAGTTAAGTGTTGCAGAGGCATGCTGTGGTCAGAGCCATTAGCCTCGTGGGTCTGTGGCTCTGAAGATTAGTGTAATGAGATGAAAGGGCTTATTGTCTGCACTTGTCTAAGTTTGATGCAATACCTTAAAAAAATACAGATTTTTGATACCACAGGACAAAGTTTACACAACATCGAGCGCATAACATTTTATATCTTTATTAAAAGATTATAATAACAAGGCCAGTGTTCCCTACAGGATTCTGTGGCACTGTGGTGGCTGTAGGGCTGCAACTATTGATCATTTTAGTGATTGAGTATTCTACCGATTATTCCATCAGTAATCAGATCAGTACTTTTATTATTTATTATTACTAAAGAGCAATAGTTAATAAAGAAAGAAAATAAGACCAGTCTCACTAATTGGTATCCTTAGAAAAATCAACATTTTTATTGCTTACTTTGCAGACAATATTATTATCTGTCAAAACTAAACTCATTTCGGGAATTTAAGTGCCATACTACATTCTTTTTAAATAAAACATTTTCTGAAACAAAATGTTTTTTACAAATGTAAAAAATGATGTTGGACAACATAACAAGGTACACATCCTCTTATGGGCTACTCCTATAAATGTACTATACCTTTAGCTTATTGAACTATGATTATAGAAATTCAAAATGAATATTGATTTTTGTTTTCTTGTGCCCTGTGACGCTGCACGTCTCTCCTCTATACCATGCCGCTGTGGACTGATCAAATCATGTGGGATCAAATGAACTTTGCATCGAAGGTTGGAGTTAGCGGTTAAGCCGTCGGTGGGCGGACCATCGGGGGGGCATGCTCCTCTGGGAGAAGATTCTGTACATTTTTAGATGCACTTTGACAGCAGAATTAAGAGGTTAGGTCTTTGAAGAGCTATCTGCTCTAGTAGACAATGCAATCACAAACACATTGGTTGTATATGAGTGGTGATGTGGGCACTGAAGGTGTGTGTGTGTCAACCACAGACTGTAGTTAGGAAGTGGACGCAGTCGGGACGTCACCCATTGGTTAGTGAACTGCCGTTTTGAAGCCTCGAGTTGGGATGTTTTTGGCCGTCGCCATCTTGTTTGCAACCAGTGAACGGAAGTGACCACATTTGAGCAGCGGAGGAGTGACGTAGAGACGTCGTGTACGGCTCTTCCAGCTGTAGCGACCTGTCAATCTCATCGTAGCCCCGCCCTAAAGCATATTCTGCTTTATTGTCTGTCTCTAAATGGACCATCATTTACTAAATGAACATCATGCTGTATTGAAGAAGACTTGAAACTAGAGATTTACCGCACCAAAAGTGCGTAGAATGAATGTCTCAAATATTCAGAATCCATATGTATCAAACATTTTTTAACTACACTCACATTTGCAGACCAAGCCTCGGAAAGGTGTACTTTTGGTTTTCTAGTGGCTACCCGTGGGGAGCAAAGCCCCTTTTATCTCGTCTCACTTGGAGCCAAAACAGGCTTGTGTTTTTAGGTATGTTTGTAAAGATTATCAGCACAGCGTAATGGAGAACCGCATTCCTTGACCTTTTATTGCTTCTTTTTATAAATCGCACTGGAGGCGGGATAAAGTGCAGTGCAATCAATTCGATTCATTTCAGAGGGTGATGTCTTACCTTCACGTTCCAGCTGATAGCGGAGACGGGTCAAAGCTTCATTAAGGGGTTCAAAATGTCCACACACTGTAGCTGACGGAAAGCCCTACACTCACAAAAGCCTTCCTGTCTACATTGATGACCTGTCTCACCCTCCCACTGCGGATGTGTGCCTGCACCCTGCAGGGCTGCTTGGCCGGCTCTGTTGTCTGCACCACGCCGGCATCAGGAGTCCGTCTCTGGAGAGCGGCCTCCTAATTGCAGCCTTGGTTTCTGTTGCCCACTGCCAATAAGATGGGAAGAACAGTTAATCCACGCTATTGTTTGGACTGGGCCGAGAGAGGGGGGGGGGGGGGGGGAAGATGCAGAGATTACAGTCACATTAGTCCTGTGTTGACACAGACTGGCTCGCTTTGATTAGAACTCATTCGTTTGGTTCCCACCGCTGGGCCCAAGACCAGCTTCCTCATTGTCTGAACCGTTTTCCTCCTAAACAAAATGTTGGTGAATGTTTCTACTAATAGTTTGCAAGATTGCTCCTTGGGTTAATGTGTGTTGTCTTGAATCACACTTGTGAGCTCAGAATGAAACCCTTCCTGATGACGGAGTTGTGTACGATGCACCAATTGCAATTTTTCTTTACAGAATTTAAGTTTTGTACAAATCTGCCGATTCAGTTTTTTTTTTTTTTTTTTTTTTTTTTTTTGCATATTCAGATTTTTTTCCGAGAACTGGACTAACTTTCACCACCGTCCCAAATATAATATCAACCATCCCGAAGTCAGTGTAAAATCTATAAAGGTTATTTTCATAAAACACACAAGATTCTTATCATGAGTACTTTTAATGATGTATTATAATCTGTTTAGAGTTAGTGTAAATGGTTCATAATTCATCTCTAATATCTATTTATGTTGTTTGCAAACATCTCCTTCAAACAACTGGATTTATTCAAGTTTCTCACTAACACTACATTTTACTAGATTACACTTGGACACATCATGATGACTATAATTTACCTTCTCCCAATACACATTTTCTTCTGAATAGAACTTAATTACAATATAATGATATCGGTGTCTGATTAAGTTAGTTGATGCATACGGTTTTATTTTGGATAA